CGTAAAGAAGGGGCTGAAACATGGGGGCACCCTTATGCCCACTCTACACCGCTCATGTAGACATCGTGTTTAGGAAAATAAGGTGAAAGAATTGGATGAACATCTATGGTGAACACTTCAGCAACCTAAGGATCGCTGAAGATGTGGTGTTGTCAATGGAAAACGGCAGTAGGCTACAAGAGATGCTGCAAGAGTGTGAGAGAAACAGTGCAGAAACGGGACTGGGAAACAAACGTTCTAAAGCGAAGGTACTGCGATTGGATGCTACGCCGGAGATCCAGGTTATATTACACGGTAAAAATATCGATGATCAAAGAAGTCGATAAATGCATTTGCTTGGGCCATAAAATCAACATACGAATAATACCATAATTCAACTAAGAAAGAAGGCCAGTTGGCACGCGTTCCATTCCACTGAGGATGTTCTCCTAGGCAACGTCAAGAAAGAAACCCGCACAATTCTCTTGCATCTTACTATCATAGCTGCACTGTGGAATGGCTGTCTGATATGATCACTCACTAAAACCTAGGAGCTCCAGCTATCTGTCACTGAGAGCGCCATGAAAAGACGAATGTTGCCAATTCCACATTCCTGGAAAAGTGATCAGACAGCAGACCAAAGTGAAGGACGTTACCGTCGAAAGCAGAAGGGAAAAATTACGGTAGGTCGGGCACGTAGCTCGGCTCGCCAACGGGAGACGGCCGGCATTGATAATTGAGTAGTATCCTCGGGGACGGACTAGCCGCATGGTTGCCCAGCATAAAAATAGGAAGATTATGTCGGTGGTTGGAGAGGGACCGCTTTTGGAGGTAGAAGACTATAAACTGCGAGGAATGGCGGGTGTGTTGCGTGAATGCCGATCCAAATGATCCAAGTGATAGTTTTGTAAAGCAATCGTAAAATTCCTCACCTTTTTCTTCGCCCACAGGCCGCATCACAGGAGATCGATCACTGACCTCATTTTCGACAACAGTTTTCCTTGACCTTTGCATTTCTTCTTCCAAGCCAATGATTAGCATTAACAAGCTTTTATCAGTCTTCAGCAGATCGGTGTATCTTCGTCGCTCCCTCACGCTGACTTCTTTATCGAACAAATGATGATAAGCTCGTTCGGCATAGGACTCGGAAACGTCTGATAAATGCCTCCTATAATATGAAAGGGATGAAATCTCTTGAGCCATGAAGAAACTTCAGGAAATAACTGCGATATTTGCAG